CCAAAGTACTGCAATGGATTAGAAAACACACGACCGGTAAAAGTGAAACAAATCCTCATTCAGTTGTTAGAGACTCCAAGTCAGCGGCCTTTTCGTGGACCAAAAGACTTAATAAAACAGATGTCATTGAAATCCAAAATGAATGCTCGGATGTGATGAAGGCTTTGGGATATAAGTTGATTGATGCCAATCAGTATGAAAACGCATACAATTATACAATAAATCAACTCATAGATAAAAACTATCCATTAGACTACTTATCAAAGAAATTATGGAAATAATAAATTTTTATCGGTATTAAAAATTAATAGTAAAAATATCTTAAATTATTACAGTATTAATAAAGAAATTACATGATTTGATAAGCTATATCATGTAATAAATTATTACTAATAATCTTGCATAGAAAATTCCAATTTGTGGTATATAGTAATATACTAAATATTATCTAACAATAAATACACAAAACAAATAGAGAATTTGAAAATCCTATTTTTATAGTGAATTAACGTATTTTAAATGATCCTTTCATTATAGTTCAATCGTTTATTTAAATTTCAATATTTCTATTAAGTCTATATTTCATTTGATTTCTTAAAAATATTATTTAAATTTTACTGAAAATTTATGAATATTTAGATGATATTTTTTAAGTAAACCATTGTTTAATAAATTTAACTAACTTAATACTAACAAAAATAATCTTTTAGTGATCTTATACAGTAAACATCAAATATTACTATTCAAATACTTTGATATAGTTATATTAATATATTTATACAATTATATAATTTATAGAAAATATATAAATTATTTTAATAACTTTTGAATATTAAGAATTTATGAAAATAAAATATTTATAAAGCATTAATTAATTCATATCAACATTAATATTACATAATACTATTTGGTGGTGTAATTATTATAACATGGATGAAATTGTTTTATTAACTTTAAAATATTAATTAAAATAAATTATATTTATATAATCACTATCTTATGGGGAGTCTACTGGCAAGTCCATGGGTGCTGGTTTCTTGCCCTGTTGATTACCTGGCTTATTTCCTGGCTTACCGGTGGCTTTTGCGGGCTTTCCAGTAGCCTTTGCCGGCTTTCCGGTCGCCTTTCCGGGCTTTCCTGTGGCTTTACCGGGCTTACCTATACGGGTAATATTAAGTCTAAGTACCCTGATAAATAATTAAGTACGTCACTAATATAAAAAAACTGCTAACCGGTGGCCTTTCCGGGTTTTCCTGTCGCTTTTCCTGGTTTACCTGGTGCTTTAGCTGGCTTACCTATGTAGTAGTAGTATGAATTGAATATAAGTATCATGGTAATTAAAGAATATTCAGTTGCTTACCAGTGGCTTTGCCGGGCTTTCCAGTGGCTTTGGCAGCCTTTGTGGTGGCAGTGACTGCCAATCCCTCGGCCTCTCCCAGCTCTTTGTCTTCCACCACTAAATTCATACAATTATTACGCCACTTATCACAAAAGGTATTGTAGTGGACATACCCTCTTCAATGTCGTCGACATTTCTGATGGACCATCCCTGGGCCACATCGAGGACCACAACCGCTAGAATAACCAGAACTATAACTTTCATTTTTGTAGTAATTCTTGAGATTATTCTTGTTTTTGTTGAAAAACTGGGAGTAATGTTTGACTGATTTATTAAACACTCAATTTATATACTCACTAAACATAAGGCAATTAAGGCAATGAACACAATATGTATTTTTAGCAGTTATTATCATATATGTTATGCATGTGTTGATGACAACCGTTACACGTAATGAGTATTTTGCTCTGTTATCAATGTCTGACCATATTTTATAATCTAAATTTAAAAGTTTTAACATTCATTAAGCTTTTATTTATTATATTAAAAATCGTATTTGAGTTNATGCATGTGTTGATGACAACCGTTACACGTAATGAGTATTTTGCTCTGTTATCAATGTCTGACCATATTTTATAATCTAAATTTAAAAGTTTTAACATTCATTAAGCTTTTATTTATTATATTAAAAATCGTATTTGAGTTAGTTATTTAGTGCTAAATGTGTTTAAAACCAATATAATTTCATTGAATATGTTTAATTGACATAATAATGTGTGATATTCTTCCAAAACCATTAATAAATGGTTTTGAGACCACCAGGGTTATTTGTTTCCTATTTTAGATACAATTTATAGTCCATTCATTACTAAAGAGTTTACTAGTGGTAATTGAAATCCAGCACAATTTAATAATTATGTCTATTTTTAGTAACAAGAATTTATTAACCCAGAATTAATTCATTTTGTTTAAAATGTTTTTGCAATTATCAGGTTAAATCGTGAAAGTTCATTGTTCATAAAATTATATAACTATTAGTAATTTATAAATTATAATTTACTTTTTTACACAGTTTTAAAAATCATTTGAGAAACAGGCAAACTACTAAATAGAAATAGTAAGAATTTATTTAATAAAATATTTATTGATTTTATAAACAAAACCATTAGATTTGATACTCATTTAACTTTTTTTACACAGTTTTAAAAATCATTTGAGAAACAGGCAAACTACTAAATAGAAATAGTAAGAATTTATTTAATAAAATATTTATTGATTTTATAAACAAAACCATTAGATTTGATACTCATTTAACAACTGATATGTAATCGATAGGATAATCTTGACTTATAATATCATTATCAGAATATTTATTTCGGAATTCTTGCAAATTTTTAATGTCTATTATATTATAACCCAGATAGTCCATGACACCGGTACATTTCTCTTGAATTGTGTCAATTTGTGTGGCATTTAATCGCTTAACCCATGAAAAGACCGCGGATTTGGACTTTCTGACCGTTGAATAAGGATTACCCCGTTTTGTCGTGTCGTTTGTATGCCTTTCAATCCATGACTCTATGTCTGCATTGAAATGAAGATCTAATTTGTTGTATAATCTTTTCGCTGTTTCTATTGCATTGAGTGACAGGTCTTCGTAACGAACTAGAGTTATGTGATCTGGATATATATAAAAAATTAAATATATATATTTAAATGTTGATTAATTAAAGTTTAACATACTAAATGTTCAATAAATGAATAAATGTTTCAAATGGTTACTACAAAGTTTGTAGATATATGGCATACCATAATCTAAAATATAATAAGTTAGATATTTAGAAACCTGAGTATTGGTTGTAAAACTGGATCAGAGAAATGATGTCATACTTCATACGGTCGCAGAGCATATCGATCTCAGCGCAAGTCGTGTCGTCCCGACACCAGTCCATCGCCGGTAGATATCTTGAACTCATGATCCCTCGCGGGTCCCTCACAATCATCACCAGTTTTATCGGTTTGTCTAAGTGTGTCATCTTTATTGTCATTATTTTCTTTTAAGTTTAACTTTTATTAAAATACTTAATATTTGTTGTAATTTAACGAAATGTTTGACTCGTATTCGTATGGATTTAATCAAATGATTTTGGCATCGTTTGCAAACATATTCATTAACCTCGGGATTGAAAAACAATTTCTTGTTTATTCCCATATATTTCTTCATAACTAAATTTCTTATGTTAGAAATGAAATTTAAAATTCATTATATTTTACATTTATTAGTGTTTAAAATGATGCTTAATAAACATAAAAATCAAACCCATAATTACTCCTCTGTTTTCCAAATAATATAATTTAATAATCGTTTCTCCAAACCATTGAAATCGCAATCAAATATTTTAGACAAAACGTCGACACCGTTTTTAGCGATGGTATCATTTTGTCTCAAATTTTTATGTTTCATATAAAACAAGGGCTCAAACGTGTAAAATGTGGGCCAACTTTGATGCAGTAAATCGGCTGAAAATGAAATGATTAGTTAATTATAAAGTCATTTATAAAGTAATTCATTTGAGTTTACTGTCAAACCTATGAATGATGAGCCAGTCCTGGGTTCGCCTAAAACCAGAATACGGTTCATATTTTGAGATAAAACTATTGGATAACTATCCCAATCAACACTTGTTTCCAAATAGTCCCTGTACCTATTGTTTGTAACAGAATAGGCAGACTTTTGCCAAATTAATAATACATACATTAAAATAATGAATATTATTACAAATAGAAATAATTGAATAATAGGAGCCTTTTTAAAAGTGATTGTTTTCATTACATATGCAGTCATTGACTCAGAATGAAACTAAAATGAAGTTTAAATGTAAAAGTTGTATTCAACAGAAATTGAATTGTCTGGAGATATACTGAACACATCTCATTAAAAATAAATTGCAATTTGCAATTAAAAGCAAAATCTATTTTTCAGGTGTTTTTCACAAAAGCATTTCACCTTCACTACTATTCATTTATTTATTATTCAATATTATTTATCGTAATATTAAGATAAAAAAATATTTTATAGATATTTAAATGAAGGTATTCTCGACAACTGTGTTATGTTTTTATATTGTTTAAATAGTGATACTGTAAGAGTTATCTCATGTATATTAGTCTTATCATACCTACAAATATTGATATTATTTCCAATCTATAACTAGTATTATATAATATAACATTTTATTAATAATAAAAGTAATCCAGATTTGAATTAATACTTTGAATAAGTTAGACCGACTACTTAGATGATTTGGATAATATTTAGTGAATTAATTAATTAAAATGAATTGATTGCATATAAACAGTAACTAATTGCTTAAATAATTGTGAATATGCCGTCAATTACTATTAAATATAGCAAATTATCATTTGCGGTGCTAATCGTGTTTGCATTCATTGTCATAAATGTCTATTTTATGCCAAATATATTTCACTCAAAGCCACGAATCCTATGTATGATTACAACACAACCCAAGAATCACAACTCGAGGGCTAAAGCCGTGAAGAATACGTGGGGACAGAGGTGTGATGTGCTATACTTCGTGAGCTCACAACCAGATCCCAGTTATCCCATAATTGACGTCAAGTGCGATAAAGAGGATCACAACCATCTGTGGT